CACCATCCGCTTTAAGTGAAAGATGGTGAAATTTCTATTTTTAAATGTTAAATCTTTCCAAATATCCAAACTTCCCAAATTCACAAATCCAAATCCAATTTCCAAATCCAAACCATTGCTGCTACTATATGTCAGATAACACGTATTCTATACGTATCTGATTGACGACTAGCCTTAATCGAAAGTTCTCTCTCGTGATCGAGAGGGGTAATTAACTATAGGGGCTTGTGCTTATAGGAAACCAGAACTCAGATCACAAAGTCCTCGCAAAATGAGGGCGAAATCTCTGGGTAGTGTCTTATCCACAAATCCATCTGCCTTACAAAATTTACCTCGGAACTTAGTTCGTTAAAACTCCCTCGCTGAATAAGAAAAGCGAGTGGAGGTCGAGGCCGAATTTTCGGAGCCCACAAATGTATGGTAAAATAGACGGGGAAATAATGGAGGAAAGGGCTACCACAAGGTTTTGATCAATCAACAACCAAAAGATATATTACGAGTTGAGGATTTTCTGACCAGAGTCAGATAGAGAACTTTTGAGCAGGTTTGTTGTAGTTCCGTCGAGATGACCAAGGAACCAATTTGTCCCCAAGAGTTTGGCGATTTGGGATCTCCAACTAGGTTTGTTGTCTGTAAAAGTTGGATATAAATAATATTCTTGATATTTGAGATGAGAAACTTCAATGAAGAGGGAATGGTTACTTTGGTTGAGCTTTGCAAGGTTGTGATTTGAGGTGGAGAGGAGGAGGAATCCCCCATATTTACCTAGGAGAAGATGTCGTTATGCAGAAAGAGTGCTCTGATACCATAAAAATACTTAGTTATTGTAGGAAGAAAAGTAAGGAAGAGTAGAGCAAAGATGAAGAAGAAAAAGTTCCATTAAAACTGCCATGACCACTGTATAATGTAAATACCAATATGTATGTAGAACTAGCTTAAAGGGAAAACATACAGAAATTTTTCTTAAGCTGATTGAGTTGAACTGTGAGGATTAACATAGTTGTAAAGTAGAATGTAATGATAAAAAGATCATGCAGAGCAATAAACTTAAATATGAATGTAAGTGTTCAGTTGGAGATGCTGCAGTTGGTAGCAATTTATTTTAAGTAGCTCTCTATCTCAATCTATTAAAATTTGCCCCTTTTAATTTGTTCACCAAGCAAAGGTTGTCATAGAAACTTATGACAATTTCACTTCTCAAGCATAATGAAGCATTGCACACTAAGAACTTACAAGCATATTAGTTGTTCAGAAAAATATTAAGTATGTCATATGTCACTGACAGTAGAAATAAGAAACACGAAATATTGCCGAGGTGAAATGATCAACTTGTTTTTTCTTTTCTTTTTATTTTTGTTCTGGAAAAAAAAGATGACAATTTTCAATCACACAGAACATTTATTAAGTTGTTTTTAACATCTTCCAATCACAATCCATAGAAATTGGCCTCTTTTAATTTGTTCATCGAAGTCAGATTAATCATAGAAACTTATGAGAAATCCACCTCTCAAACATAACAAAGCATTGCAAAGGCATATCATCTGGAACTGTATGGCTTCCACCCTGCAACCAAATTAGTAGAAGATGAGATGTAATACAAAAATAACACAAGTTTACCTAGGTAACATCAAAGAAAAATTTTCCTTCCTTCACAGTTGCAAATGTTAGATTGTTTGAGAACATCATCGTATACCTGATGAGCAAACAAATCACAAATGAACAATAAGATAAACAATACTTTATGATTTGTAAATATTAATGCCAAGACGCAAAGGAGGATCGAATATAGCCAATTTCTTAATAGCATGTTGTTGTATGAATGAAAATCAGATTGAAGAGCATTATCTTTGGAAAGCATGCATTAGATATGAAGATGCATTTTTATTATAATTAACATTCTCTCAATTGATGATATTCACAACAAGAATATTATTCTTTTATTGTGGATAGTTGAGCCTGGTCACAAAAATTTTCTTTTTTTTTTGTTTGATACTGCTGATCTTATAAGTTTTTAAGCTTAAGCTTCCATGTTGATCCACTAGTATTTTGGGCTTAGCTTTGGAACTATAATAAAATGCATAGTGATCAAAGAAATACTCACCCTGCAACTTGGCCGCCTGCACGCCATGAACGCCAATTGTCGATGATAGAGAAGTTGAATGATCTTATCCACTCTAGTGTGCTAATGAATGGTACAACAAGATCATGGTCTCCACTGTTTTGTCCATAATTTCATGCATGTTAAATAACTATGGCCTTTAATTATAAAGTTGCAAAATGTAAATGATTGCATGCTTATGACTTGCTTCACCTATAAACCAAAGCTCGATATCCTCTGCTTGTTAAATTGAGATGATGTGGCACGCAAGTTGGTATGTTAACAGTGTAATTATTCAAATGATCTTTGCAACGAAGCCATTCTTCCACAGTTCCCTGCATATTTTTCATCATTAATATTGCATGGAGTGAGTGAAAATAGAAAGATTTATATAAGCTGAGTGTTCTCTCATTCAATCGTGTGAAATGCAAAAAAACGAATGATTCAAACCACTTCCTAGCATAAATTTCTTTAATAGTTTGTTCTTTTGTTAAAAAGGGAAAGCAGTCTCAACTTATAAAAAAAAACATAATTTAGTTTATCCTATTATATCAATAAGAACAGTAAATGTTAACTTGATATCAGGATTTTCTAATAACCTACTTGTGCTAATGAAGTTTATATTGAAACCCTGGTAATATTACTAAAACTTGCTATGCAATTTAGGTTTTATTTGGAATGACTTTCTTACTGCTTCTTAAAATAATTTTTTAATATAAAAATTTAAATTTTTGTATTAAAAAAGTGTTTTAAGAAGCAGTAAGAAAGCCGTCTCAAATAAAGCCTTAGTATAATGTCATGACCACATTTTATAAAGTTTAGAAATTTTTTTAATTTTCTTTTAAAAATTCAAACTAATGAGAGTTTTATACAAGTGATCCAATATATAATATTATTAGAAAATACAAAAGGATCGAAAGTGTGGTTCATAAAAAAAAATTAACTAAAGATACGTGGTTGAGTGGGATAAAAGGTACATAGAAGCCAAAATGGTTGAATAGAAGAAATTAACAGCAATCAAAATAGTAACCCTCTTTTATCATTTTTTGGGGTAACTTTACCACATTCATCTAGAATTTTTGTCCTATTTATCGATTAGAGTCGCATTGCTCCCAACAACAGTAACTAAGAAACAATCAAATTACCTCTTTGATATGAAGGGCTTCTTTAGTGAGTTTGTCATTTGACCAGTAAAAAGAAAGAATACGATCATTCTACAAAAAATAATAACATTTTAATCTTTTGTTTGTATGAATTGAAAAATCTTGTTAGCAATGTAAATGAAAATAGGTATCAAACGAATGCAAATGACATAACTGCACAATCAATATCTGGCATGGATAATGAATTATGGAATTCAACAGACTTTTTCTTGATTGATTGACTGCCTCCTCCTAGTTTACTTGGTGTAGGAGGGTCCTCAGCACATTTAGGCTTCAATATGTCAAATATATTGATCTCTGAAAGAAACTAAGTAAATGTATAACATTACATGAGTTAGCATCATCCATGTCATTATTTTCATCTTTGTAATGAGAAAATCATATAAATATGTCCAAAATGGATCAGATTACCCCATTCAAAATTTTGAGGTTAGCTTCACAATCGGCACTCTTATGATTGAGATAGTGTCCCACCCCACAATTTATTTGTATTAGCTGAAAATAAAAAAAGATCACCAACATTTTGTAAGAACATTATATTTCCTTATAGCCACTTGCCTTCATGCATGAGTTAAAACTTGAAGGAGATATCTCTGCGATAACCATCTAATAGCTCCTTTGAAGTTTAGCTAATTATAATCTTGCCCCTTGATTTTTGAAAAAAATACCAAATACCCCTTTTATGTTATATTTTACATCCAACTTCTGTTAGATTAATATTAAAATAACTCTTTCCATCAAAGAATATGTTAGAAAATTGTATTTGATAAGTTACCACATAAAAAGCATGTATAGACCTACAAACATACAAAGAAATTTATGTTAAGAATTTCAGAGCACCAAATAGTTTGATCAAGAGCAACATTTATTTTGATATTAATTAATGTGCATTTTATTTAATAAATTATGAAAAGCCCTTTTTATATAATTTCAACATTTTAATGTTAAACTATTAAAAGTTGGTAAAAAAAAGGTAGAAATAGGGTGGTGTTTGATATTTTATCAAACATATGGACAAAATAATAGTTAGCTAAACTTCAAGGGAGCTAAATGAAGATTACTCAGATTTTCATATAAAAAAAATAAAATTAGAAACCTCGAATAGTTCATGTGAAATTATTCCCAATCCATGAGCATGAGGAGCTTGAAAAATGATGTCAAATATTCCACTTGTTACAGGGTTGCCAACTAAATAACCCTAAAAACATCAGAAACGATAAAATTATATTCATAGCCTTGTAGAAATTAGGAGAAAAAGTTTCAAAATTTATTAATTACATTTTGAAAATAGCTTAAGGACATACCTTGAGATTTACAAAAGGTTGTTCAAAATCTTCATTGCCTGTGATCCATTACATATAATTAACATTTTAATCACAAAATTATGCACTCCAGATTTAAAAATTAGACAATGCAAAAATTATAAGAATAATTACCTTCTACTATCTCTAGAGCAAGTAGAGGAGCCATCTTCCCTCCATATGAATCGCCACCAACATAAAAAGGATTTGATTGAAAACTTGGATGAGCAAGCAACCACTGCATTACTTCAAAAATACTTTCAATATGTATATATATAGGATCATGACTAAAATAAAAGAGTTATTGATGATAATTACTCAACATGCTTGAAAAAACATTGTAATTAATATCTTCATCATAATCTTTATGCATAAAATTTCTTTTCTTATGAAGTATTCCATTAGGCAGGCTACCAAAATACTAAAATTTTAAGTCATCGATCTTACCTTTATAAGGAACTTATAGATTTGTTTTGTGGATTGTACATCATCAGTATGATAATCCACCATGCTTCTTGAAAATGAGAATCCAGTCCCCACAGGCCAATCCAAAAAGATAATGCTAGAGATCTAATAATCCAATTAAATTTCTTTAAAAATAAATAAATTAAATGACATGAATATAGAGGAAAAGGGTTTAGTTCTTAATCACACACCTTTGTCCATGAATAAGGATTGGAAATTAAAGTAGGCAATGTTCCATCATATGCTTTTACATTAAACTTAAGAGGGCCTGCATACAACAACCATATAGAAAATGATGAAATCTTTCATTTGTAATATATGATTGCCACCTGAAATTTTTCTTTCATTCAGACATTGCCAAAATTGCAAACCATAAATAGAAACTTGAACAGAAAATAGCAAAAATGGTAATCACCAATATCTAAGGCGAAGCCAATAAAACCAGAGCAGTAAGGGCCACCAACAAGCCAAAGGATGAGTGGATCATCTTTGGGCTTCCTATCAGACTCTACAAAGTAGTAGAAGAGCTCTGCACCGCTCTTTTCATTCACGGTCACATAGCTTTTTCCAACCGAGGAGTAAACGACATAAAAAGATTAGACAAAAATGACATAGATTTAGTAATAAAAATCATCAGGTACAGAATGTTAGGTAGAGGACTTACCCAGTTTCAAGATAGAAAGGGAGTGAGCCATTGAAGCCTGGAAGATGAGTGACTCTGCTTGCATGCAATGTGTTACAATAATAAGGAAATATACAGAGATTGAAGAAGAGAAGTAATAGCATCTGCATAATGCTGAAGCTAATAGCTAGGCATGACTGAGACGAGGGAGGAAGCAGGGCCGAAATGTGAGAGAGAACAGGCTCTTCCATCCTCTTTGTCAATCAGTATCTTTATAATCAGCTTAAATATTTTGTTGAGTATAAATACTAAGTTAAATCCCCATTCTTCTTTAAATTTTAAACGGTTAATCCATAATTTCTCCTTGCTATTCCTGTTCTGTTCACATAAAAGAGAGGGGCGTCGGGAGTCGGAGTCAATATTTTATTTATAGTGCAGGTCGTCAAGTAGGCATCGGGAACAACATATTTGGATGATATTTTTTGTTATAAAAGAACATATTAGATATGGCTGAGAGATAAAAGCAGCGCCGGAATGTGAGTAAATTTCTTATCTTTCTCACTCTTTTTTAATTCAATCATGTCAGTTAATATCATTTTTTATTAAAATGAGAATAAATATAATAAGTAAAATATAATATCTTTTCCAGCTATTTGATGCAATTAATACTAGTAACAAAATAAAATAAATGTAACACTTTTAAAATTTCTAATATTTTATTGGGAGAAATATATTTATAGCAAATTTTCAATGCATTTTAAATTTTGTATTCTAATTTATTTTCAATGTATAAAAATATATAATTTCAACAAATTTTAAATACATTTCTTATGTGAAGTGCCTTTGGCAAGAATTGATTTATGAAAAAACATTAAATTGCATAAAATTAGATTTTTTATCCTTAAGTACTTTTTTAATCCCCCTCATTCAAATTTAGAAGTTGTCGAAGGTGTAAGTTTGTGGAATTTAGTTTACAAACTATTATTGATTACTTGATTGGCTTTATTTATAATTCTACTATTGCTCATTTCAATATTAATTGTTGCTGAAATATATATTTATGGGTGAATTTTTCTGCTAGTTTATATTTTTGAGGGCTATGATGATTTCCAATATGACTTATGTGATTGAAGCATACTATCTTTCTTTATTGACGAATGCATATCGTAATGCCCTCTTCCGATTTTGTATGACTAGAATTTTATCCATTGGGAGTTTACTTTCTTTGAAGTATTCAATGAATGGTTGTCTCCAATCATTTTATACTTCAACATTTAGGCAATACAACCATGACTCCGGGCATCTGGTGGATTTACGTTTCTTGGTTACATGACATTGTTCTTATTCATTTTCGATAATGATATGTCAGGGCGGTTGAGGATTAATCAAAGTTGTATCCTGCTGGCTTGAATTTGGTATTCCATCTACTTGCAGGAATTACAAGATAATTGGCTCTAAGACCTGGCGACTTTGAACCCCAACAAGTATAGGTAACCCCTCGTCTTTATTTAATTACCAGCTCCTTGGCCAATTTGGCCAGAAAATCTTTCTTGGCTTTCTGTCTTTGAGGAACTCGAGCTATTTTAACATTTGGAACTTATTTCAGAAGCTCGAGAGTTTGTCGGAGATAGTTAGCTAATTCAAGCTTGCAAATTTTGTAAATGCTCATAACTTGATTTATCATAAGTTGAGAATCATAAAAAATTTAGAGATTTATGATTTTGACACCAACCGTAATTTATAGTCCCGTTATTAGAGCTTCGTACATGGCTTCATTATTTGATTGTGTTGTTACAACATAGAATTCTTGATTGAGTTTGATATAATGTGATTTTTTTTATGATAAAAAAAACATTATTGTTATAATTACTTTTTCTCCGATCATATATTATATATATTTTATTTTTGTTATTTATGTGTTCTAATATTTCAGAAAAATTATACTCCAAACTATTGAATACTTCAAGACAAAGTAGATTAGGATTTTTGTAATGAACTCTGTAATTTTTCTTAAGTCTGAAAGAGTGTGATTTTAATTGGGTAATCGTGCTCAAATATACTGGGAGTGAGTCAAAACTTAAAATTTTAAAACTAATCGTACTGAACGATTTGTCATGGTATTTCCTCTAACAAGCAGTTAATCAAATCATGTTTGAACTAAGTTGTTTTTGTACTGTTCATACTGTACAATGTTCATTCGTATAGAGGACTCATAGAGTATGAAATGGGTGTATACCAATTCGTCCCAAACAAAATAAACATTTTTTAAACTGTTCTTACTATACAATATTTATTCGTATAGATGACTCACAGAGTACAAAATTTGGGTCGTCCATATTCGTATCAAATGAAATATGATTTGTGTTAATTATTCGTATTGTACAATGTCAGTTCGTACAGATAACTAACAAAGTACAAAATGATGCTTATGCAAGAGGAATTAGTTCAGTCTTGAACTATTCATATAATATGATATCAGTTCGTATATACAAATGACAGAGCACAAAAGTAAGTTTGTACAGGTTCGTACACAGATTTTTGAACTGTTTATACAGATGACTTACGATCATACTATATGATATGAGTACATTTCAATTATAATTTTTCAGTTTTTCTGGACGATTTTTCTTATTATTTATATGAGTCCTAAAAACTAACACTAAAAATATTGCAGCAAATTTTCTCTTGTGAGTAAAAAGGAGAGTGCTTTGGGAGAGTGTTTGGGAGTGGAGTGTGAGAGATCTTGCAAGTGAAAATTTTGAGGGGTTCGTAAGGTTGTCCAAAGGTGAGAATCTCTTTGTGTGTTCTTCAAAACTCTGCCCTACTTCTTTGAAGACTCTTGAGAGAAGATCTAAAAAAGTAGATCCGATACTCTGCCATCCCTAGGATGGTGAGAAAGGACAATGGTAATCTACCATTTCCAGCAGGGTGAAAAGGATGTTGGTACTCTGTCGTCACCAGGAGGGTAAGCAAAGATGTTAGTACTTTGCCGCACCGGGTTGGTGGAAGAGAGTTTGTAAGGGCTTCTCCGCCTTACTGTGGGAGCAGAAGGAGAGTCACTTGTGTTTAGTGCAATACCTGGAGAAGGAGTCTCTAGGGAGTGGACATATGTCTAAATTGACCAAACTACTATAAAATTTAGTGTTTTTCTGTTCCTTTATTTTTATTGTATTTTTATTTTCCGCACTTTATTTTACTATGGTTGAAAAGTATTTTATGAAAATCTATTTCTATAAGTAACTGCATACACATAGGATCATTACATAAAAATTTATTAAAAAGGTTTTCTAAATCCAAGAGAATTTTTAAATTACTAATTCACCCCATTCATGGTTAGCCTTGTGATAGTTCTACTAGGTCTAACAATTTGCACGAACTTATAAGTGGTATTATAGCCTATTTCAAATATTAAAGTTTAGTTTACTTTTTAAAAAAATGATTATGGCTACTTTTGGCAACTAAAACACTCCTAAAGGATATTTGATCACTAGATCGCCTTTATTTGTTAACAACCCATTTAATTTTTGGTTGATTTAAATTTTATTAAATCTTCTAATGCTTTTTAGCTCAAAACTATCACTGATAAATCATGATTATGACATAGAAGATTCTGTGACGCAAGCATGAAAAATCTTAGAAAAATCACTCAGAAGATTTGATTAGAGGAATTAATACCCAAATTAAACTTCACTAAGGATTACTTGTGTGATGCATGTCAATTAGGAAAATGGGTTAAGTTCTCCTTTCATTTAATTAAGGAACTTAAAATTAGCAAACTATTAGAAGTCCTACACATAGATCTTTCTAAACCAGTTAGCACTATAAGTTTAGGAGGGAATGATTTTGGGTATGTGATTTTTAATGATTATTTAAGATTCACTTGGATTAAACTTTTATCACATAAGAGAGAATCATTTGATAAATTTAGAAAATTTTCTACTTAGATACAAAAGAAGCTAGGTTGTAAAATCTTTACAATTCAAAGTGATCATGAAGGAGAGTTTGAAAATAAAAAATTTAAAGATTTTTATAAAGAGCAAGAAATTGATCATAACTTTTATGCACCTAGGACCCTTCAACATAATGTGATTATTTAAAGAAAGAATAACACTTTAATAAAAGCCACTAGAGCCATGTTGGATGAATATTCATTTTTGAAATATTTTTGGGCTGAAGCGGTTAGTACGACTTATTATGTTCTAAATAGGGTGAACATTAGATTTAAGTTGAATAAGAAACCCTATGAACTTCTCAAGGGAAGAACACCTAATTTGTCACATTTACATATCTTTGGTTATAAGGTGTTAATTCATAATAATGATAAAACTCCTTTAGAAAAATTTGATCCTAAATCTAATGAAGGATTTCTCATTCTTCTTAACCTGCATGACTTGTTAGTTGGGCAAATCATCGTTCAATAGTGAATCTGTAGGAATAAAATATGCAATGAGAAAAACTGTCAAGGCCTATTCTTTAACCACCTTTTGTGGTATGTATGTGATATCAAACTATAGTAGTATCACTACCTACCTAGCTAGATGACCTATCAATGTTAGTCTTATTATCAAGAATTTCAATGAATCGATTTTTGATATTAACATAATTTTATGAGATAATATATAGTGACAAAGTTTTTGAACTGAAAAAATCAGCACCAGACAATGCTTCTCAATAGAAGACTAACATATATATGCTCCAATCAATCTCCAACTAATGTAGTAGAATGCATTCTCCTTGCCTTATTTATTGTGTTGGGTCAATAATGCTCTGAGGGACTCTTTTAGTATTGCAGTATATAATATAAGAGGCTTCCCAGAATTGATGCTGCGAGAATGGGCGGGTTCAATAAGTATCTTTAGATACTGTCAAATGCTTCTAGTAATTTTACGTCCCATTTGAAGTGGACATCTTTCTTTATTAGCTTTGAAATGGTTGGCACCTACCTAACAGATTTGATATGAACCGTCGAATGAAAGCCAATTACCCTTACAAAGAGCAGAGATGATGAAGGTTTCTAGGTGATGGCATTTCCATGATTACCTTGATTTTGTTTGGGTCAATTTCTATTCCCTGATGTCGAATAATGTACCCCAAAAATTTGCCAAAAAAGACACTGAAGGTGCATTTAGGAGGGTTCATCTTCAAATTAAGCTTTCTAATCCTCTTAAATATGATTCTTAG